AAGGAAAAATGATGAGAAATGGAAAAAATGGAAATAAAGTCTTTGTAAATAGGGAAGGGTGTAGGGGGTGAAGGGAGGGCTAGGAATGGGAAACAAATAAGAAACAAGATGCATCATGTAAAGTTCCCAATGAGAAATGTGATTGTATTGTATATCTAAAATGGACCAATAAAAGAATTTAAGAAAAAATAAATAAAATAAAAAATAAAATAAAATAAATATGAAACTAACCAGTTTTAAACTTTTCTGACTAGAAATAGTAGGATCACAATTTATATCCTCTTTGCAATTCCAGAGTTTCAGCTCCATTATTTACTAGCATTCAACACGTGATATCTATGAAAAAATAAGAATAAAATTATCAGTTCCAGAATGAATAAATTATAAATTTAAAGACTTTACTGGCAGAACTATCATAACTCTATTATAAAACTCTGATGTTGTTACATAGGTATAATAAAATTATGTACATTTCATACATTATGTACATTTAAAACTTATGAAACATATCATCATCATCATAATCTTTTAATCAGACATCTGTACATTTTTGGCAGAGTACTGGGCACATAGTGTGTGTTTGACATATGTTTTTGAAATAATCACTATGTACTGCAAACATGTACTGATAAAAAATTTAAAAAAGAAAGGAATGAATACATAGACTATCAATGCTATTTGACAACAATTTCATGATATCAAAAACCATTTATTTCATTTGAGCCTCATCAGAATACAATGAGTTGTAAGAATGGTGATTACCGCCAACTCTACCTTAAAAATAAAAACAGTGGCCCAGAGGGATTAATTTATCCAAGCTCACACTCCTCTGGTATGCAGTATGATTGCCTTTCAAATCCAAGTCTTATGACACCAAATCCTGACTCTATTTGGGATTTACTTGTATACCTAAATTTTTACATACTGGAAGGACTGAGAATTCCTTAACATCTTAAATGACACTCATTGTATTTCTAAAATATCAAAATGAAAGTGGCCTCCTAATTTTTTAAATATCATAGAATCATAAATCTAAATAGATACAGACACCATTAAAATAAATTTAGAACCTGAAAATAATTAAATTTGTTTTAGGGCTAAAACGAGAAGTAAGCACAGAGGATATGGGCCAAAACACAACCATGCTTAGTGAACTGTCATCATCTCTTAGTATGAATGAGTGAATAATTATCATAGAGGAAAGGAAAAATAAACCATAATTAAGCAATAGCTGTAACAATGTTCCTCAGGGAATAATTATTTGTCTTTATTGCATTCTTACAGTATTACACTACAGATGATAGGTCTTATATTTTCATTTTTATACTTATAGTTCATCCATACTTTTTTTAAAAATATGCTTTTAATAAACAAATTGTTCTCTTAATGTGTTTTGCATTTAGTAAATTTTTAGATTATTGCAGAAGATTCTATGAACATTTTAAAATAACCATTGTCTCATTATTTAACAAGAATGGCAGGCCATTGTTCATGCCTGTGGTTCAACAATCAGAAGCATTTCAGAATTGTGCAGTCATTAGAGCTGTAAAGAAACCCAGAAGTATCTTAGATGTCTCATGTTGCTGGAGCCTTATGGTGCAGCTGCCATTGGAGCCCAAAATGAAAATTCCTACATAAAGTGGTAGGAGACACTTGTGTATTTCTTTGTTAATGTTAACAAAATTTGTAGCTGATTTAAACAATATCTTCAATTGGCTTACAATAAAAATACAAGTTCACTGCAATAATCTTTGTATAGCCTAAAGGCATACTAGGAGTAAGAGGAGGAGAAAAATTATTTTTAAATCTTTTTACTTTTAATGAATACATAGTATTATACATATTTATGGGCACAATACATGTGTATAGTATGTAGTCACCAGATTAGAGTAACTGGCATTTCTATTAGCACAAGACATATATTTTTGTATGCTATCACATAAAAGAAATATGTACATTTTAAACGTATAAAACATTTGTATGAAGAATATTCAAAATTCTCTTTCCTAGCTATCTTGAAATATTTAATTGATTGTTGTCAGCTATAGTTATCCCATTGTGCTACAGAATATCAAAGATCATTTCTCCTGTCCAGCTACTCCCACATGCTCACTCTCCAACCCTGCCTCATGCACACCCTCCCCGCTCTTGTAATCAGTGTTTTATCTCTGCCCCTTTGAGATCACATGTTTAACTTCCGCATGTAAGTGAAAATTTGTAGTACTTATCTTTCTTGTGCCTGACTTATTTCCCCCAACATAATGTCCTCCAGTTCCATCTAAGTTGCCATGAATGGTAGCACTTCATTCTTTTATGGCTAAATTGTGTATATGGCCCACATTTTCTTTCTCAGCTCATTTGTTGATGGCCACTTAGATTGATTCCTTATTTTGGCTATTGTGAGTAGTGCTGAAATAAATATGTAAGCGCAAAATCATACTGGTTTCAATCCCTGTGAATACATACCCAGTAGTAGTACTGTTGGATCATATGGGAGTCTTATTTCTAGTTACTTGAGGAATCGCCATACAGTTATCTTATATACAAATGTATAAGAATTTCTTTTTCTCCACATTCTCATCATCACCAGAACTTGCTTTGATTTTTTTGTTTGTTTGTTTTGTTTTGTTTTTGTAGTAGCCATTCTAATTGGGGTAAGATGATATTTCATTGAGGTTTGGATTTGCATTTCCCCGATGGTAAATGATGTTGAATATTTTTTTCATATTTTTTGACATTTATATATCCTCTTTTGAAAAATGTCTATCAGGTCATTCTTCTATTTTGTAATTGGATTACTTTTTCACTTTATTTGTTTTTGTTGTTGAGTTTTTGAGTTCCTTCTACATTATGATGATGAATCTCTTGCTAGACAGTTTTCAAATATAATCTTCCATTCTGTGGTTGTATCTTCACTCTGTTGATTGCTTCCTTTGCTCACTAGAAACTTTTTAGTTTGATTGTAATCTCATTTGTCAGTTTTTTGCTTTTGCCATCTGGTTGCCAGACTAATGTCCTGTAGTATTTCCTCTATATTTTCTTCAAGTATTTAATAGTTTCAGGTCTTATATTTAAGTTTTTGGTGCATTTTTAATTTATTTTTTATATGATGAAAGCTAGAGTCTACTTTCTTTGTTCTGCATATGAATATCCAGTTTTCTCTGTGCCATTTTTTGAAGAGATATTCTGCAAAGTATGTCATTGGTGCCTTTGTCAAAATCAGTTGGCTATACATATGGATTTATTTCTGGAGTCTCAATACTGTCTCATTGTTCTGTCTTATGTCAGTATCATGTTGTTTTGGTTGTTAACATTTTGTATTATTTTGAAGTCAGGTATTGTAATGGCTCTGGCTTTTTTTTCTCTCTCTTTTTGTTCAGGATTTGCTTTGGTTATTCAGTGTCTTTTGTGTTTCCATACAAATTTTAGGAGTCCTTTTTCTGTTTCTGTGAAGAATGTCTGGCATTTTAATAGAGATTGCATTTAATCAGTAGAGTGCTTTAGGTAGTATGGCTATGTTAAAAACACGCTTCCAATTTATGAACATGAATATGTTTCATTTTTTGTAGCCTATTCAATTTTTTTCAGCAGTGCTTTGTGATTTTTATCTTAGAGATCATTCATTTCTTTGGTTAAATTTATTCATAGATATTTTATTTTTGTAGCTATTGTATATGGGATTGTTTTCTTGATTTCTTTTTCACTGATTTAATTATTGGTATATTTAAAAGCTACTGATTTTTGTATCTTGATTTTGTATCTTGAAATCTTATTGAATTCATTTAGCAGCTTTAACTGTTTTTGCTGGAGTCTTTGGGGTTGTCTAAAAAAATGCCATCTGCAAATAGGGATAATTTAACCTCCTCTTTTTTCTGTTTGTACACTCCTTCTTTCTCTCTTTTGTATTATTGCCCTAAGACTTCTAATACTATCATATTAGTTAGGTTTATCTGAGGATCAGAAGCAATAGAAAATATATGTATAGTTATGTGAAAGGATTATTAGGTAGCTTACAGGATCAAAGGTGGGAGAATCCACAGTGGTGTCTGTGCTTTGGAGACCTGGAGAATCCAGGAATTGCTCAGCTCAAGAAGATGGAAGCCATAGAACAAGAGGGTCAGGAATAGAGTACCAGTCCAAGGTTAAAGGTATGGAAGTTCACCAGAAGTCCCCAGTGGAAGTCTAAGCTGGAAGTCTGGAGAAACGGGAGACTTGGAGATTGATGGCGAAGATGGCAGAGCAAAAGATACACCACTCAAGTCCGGACCTCTTCAAAACGGGCACATTTCCTTCTTCATTCCCTTTTTGATTCTGTCCAGGCTACAATCCTACCGGTTGGTCCCACCCACACCGTGGTAGGTCCTCCTTCCTCAGTTTACTGACCCGCATGCCAGTCATCTAGACAGACTCGGAACTCTGCTTTCTTAATCTGCCAGGTGTTTCCTACTGCAATCAGGTTGACATGTCACAATTAATGTTCACAACTATGTTGAATAGGAATGGAGAAAGTAGGCATCTTTCACAGGCCCCTGATTTTGGAGGAGATGATTTTAGATTTTCTCCATTTAGTATAATGTAGGCTGGGGCTTGTCAAATACAAGTGTTAATATATTGAGGTACATTCTCTGTATACCAATGTTTGAAGGGTTTCTATAAGGAAGGGTATTGAATTTTATCAAGTGCCTTTTTTGCATCCATTGAGGTGATCATATGGTTTCTATTCTTTATTATGTTGATGTGACTTATCAGTTAGCAAATATTGAACGATTTGTGCATACCTAGATAATCAACACTTGATCTTGGTGTATAATTTTGTATGTGCTGTCATGTTTGATTTGCTATACTTTGTTCATCGAAGATATTGATCTATAGTTTCCTTTTTTATTATGCCTTTGTCTGGCAGTATCGGAAATGCTGGGCTCACAGAGTGAGTTTGGAAGGGTTCCTACTTTTTCAATACTTTTGAATAGTTTGAGAAGAACCGAAGTCAGTTCTATAAAAGTTTGGTAAAATTCAGTAGTCAATTCACTGGGTCCCAAGTTTTTCTTTTTGGGAGACTTTTAATTACTGATTCTTGTTACTTGTTATTGGTCTGTTCAGTTTTTCTGTGTCCTCATAGCTCTATCTCAATAAGTTACTATGTGTCCAGAAATTTATCCATTCATTCCATGTTTTCTATTTGTTTTCATATTCTTGTTGATAACAGTCCCTAATGATTCTTTGTGTTACTGTGGTATTAGTTGTAAAATCTGCACTATATTTTTTATTTCATTTCTTTAGTTCTTTAGCTTCAGAATTTCCGAATCATCTTCATGGTTTACCTTTGCTAAATTTCTTATTCCTATCATGAATTGTCTTCCTAATTTCATTAAATTGTCTATATTCTCATTAAGTTACCCTAAATAAATCATTGAATTATTTGTCAGGAGGCTTGCCGATGTTCTTTTCCTTAGGGTCTGTTGCTAGAGCTATGTGTTCCTTTGGAGGAGTCGTGGTGCCATGCTTTACTTCTGCTGTATGTACAGGAAGATTCCAAGACTGTGGGAAGGTGGGGAGGTCTCAAATGGCTTTGTGCCACAAGAGCCTGGGTAGAAGAGGTGCAGCATGGGCTGGGCTCTTTCTCCAGGGCAGTGTGGTGATGTGGTCACCTGAGGTCCTGCAGAGTGGGGTCAGGGTTCGTGATGTTGCATGAAGGCTCTATCATGTCACCCCATTGGTTTTTGTGCACCTGGCGGGTCAGCTGCTTTTATCAACTTTATAGTGTAGCATTTATAGTCAAAGACTTCTTGCTGGTGATGTGTCAGAGGGTGTTGGCTGGAGAGGCCACCTTGGCTCTTAAAAGTTGGCACTTTAGTGTAGTAACCAAGTAGCTTCACTGACATGTAGTTGATGTTGGTGATGTCTGTGGGCAACTCACTGGCCTAGACAACAGGGTTTGTAGGACCGCACTGTAAGCTAGGATGGAGCTCCCTTAGGTGGGGCAGTCTCCAGAGCAGCTCTAGATCCAGTGTAGTTGGCAGTGTGTGGGGGCACTCATCAGTTTCCACAGGTCATGTGAGGGCAGGACTACCCTGGTGGGCCCAGATGGTGAGGCACAGCATGTCCAGAGGTGGTGTAGAGTGCCTGTTAATGTCTCAGGGACACACAAGGACTGAGCCACACCATTAAGTCCAGACAAGTTTCTTGTCAGTGCCCGAGGGCTGTAAGGGCAATTTGGCAGGGCCTTCAGGGTCTGACCTACACAAGGTCCAGGTGCTTCCTGGGGTTGAGCATCAATGGGCTGACCTGAGCATCAGCTTTTCCAGGCCTCAGAAGGCTGCACTTCTGAAAATGGATTACTTGCTTCTTGGGGCTATAGGAGGGTAGGTAGGACCACTGTGGTAATTCCTGGGGGACTTTAGTGGGATGAGCCATTAAAGAAAGCTACTCAGTTGCTTTCCTGGGCCTCTGTGGGCTGAAGCACTCAGGGCTAGTTGCTTGGTTGCTTCATGGGGCTTAGGATGCATGGGCCAGGTGCCTGGCTTCCTTCTGAGTCCATGAGTGGTCAGGAGGGCCGCTTGAGTACTCCTAGGGCAGTAGCAGTGTAGGTGGGCCTGCCTGGCTGCTTCCAGGGTCAAAGGTGGGTAAGCAAGGCCCCTTGGCTACTTTTTGGGCAGTGAGAGGACTGACAGTGATGCTGGAGTATTTCCTGGGAGCCTCTTGGTAGTCTACTTAGGAGGCTGTGGGAACGTGGGAAGCTGGTGGGTCTCTTAATGGCTCTGTGTTACAAGAGCCTGGGTGGAGGAGGCACAATGTGGGTGAAGCTCTTTCCGCAGGGCAGTGCAGCGATGTGGTCACCTAAACTCCTCCAAAGTGGGCCTTAAAGGCTGCGTGATTCTTCAGCAATAAGTGCCTTGGGTGTCTGTGATGTGACTGTAAACATTCAGGGACCTTCAGCCTTCCCCTTCACACCAGGCAGAGTCCTTCTTGGGTCACAGTGGATCTCCAGAGAAGGAATGTTGGGTGCTGTGTGCACACAGCCTTCCTTACTTGGGCACCATGCATTTCTGCGTTCTGCCTTCTGTCTCTGCCACATCCCCACTATGCTCTGGTGCTCTGCCTGAGGCACTCCAGTGGAATTGCTGCTGTTCTCTCTTGTCTGGGACTTCTGTTGTAGAGGAAAGCATGTCAAGAATTTCTTCCTACCCAGCCATTTTGCTGATGTCATTACCTGGGAAACTCTTTTGTCAGAAATTCACAGCTGATGAAGATGAGTGTGCATAAAATGTAGTCATGAGCTCCTTAGCAACTGAGGAAAACCGGGAAACATTGTCCTTTTTTTAATTCATTGTTTATTGGCACATTTTAGTTATGCAATATGATGACATTCATCATTGGGAATTTGTACCTTTATAGGTTATATTGTGGTTCCTATTTTTTCCCTATTCCCCTGCCCTCCCTTCTGCCCCTCCACCCCTCCCTATTGACAAAGACTTTGTTTCCATCTTTTCCTTTTCTCATATTTATTTCTTTCCCTTCACCTACCCCTCCCACTTCCCCTTCCCCTTTGGGCCTTATCTTCCTCTTTCATATTATCTATTACACACTTTGATTCTTTACACTTTTAGTTTCTCACACCAGAGAAACTATTCAGTATTTATACGTGTGTCCTATTTATTTCATTTAAGAGTATGGCCTCAAGGTCCACCCATTTAGCTATAAATGTCTCTAGTTTCTCATTCTTTATGGCTGAGTAGTAGTCTATTTTATTTTTTAAAAAAACTCCACATCTTCTTTATCCAGTTGATGGGTAAATGGGCTGTTTCCAAGTTTTAGCTATTACAAGCTGCACTGCTATAAAAATGGGCACACATATATCACTGTGGTATGAAGCTTTTAATTCTTTTGGAAAGATACCCAGTAGGGGAATATCTGGGTCAAATGCTCTAATCCTAGTTTTTTGATGTATCTCCATACTGAGGGAAACATTGTTCTTAATATTTGCTACAGCCTGGAGTTCTGTGAGGCATTTGAGATATAGTTCTCAGGACAGAGTGAATTAGCAAATGATGTGACAGCACATTTTGAAACAAGAGTATTGAAGTGTCCTTCATATGAGTCTATTTTATAGATTTGACCTTGGTGAAACCAAAGACTGGAAAGAGAAATTTCTGATGCAGGCTGAATGATATGGGCAGGTGTACATATCCCTTGGGACAAATGCCAGCTGAGGAAAGCTTACAGGCAGAGGGGTCAAAGGTGTGCTAAGGAGGTTGGGGAGGACCCCACTTCACAAAACCCTGCATTTCCATGTGACATAGAATGCACTTACCTCCCCACTCTATTAAAAGCCCTTTGAGGGCATCACATTGTGTTTGTGACCAGACCTGAAGTCCTTCAAGGTCTTCCAGGATCCAGCCTTGGCCCCTTTGCAGTCACATGTCCCCGAGAGATAACACTACACTCTTGCCAGGCGCCTCTTCCAAGACCTCAGATGCACGGAGCATCTTCTTAATGATGCTTCTTCTACCCAAAATGCTCTCCTGCTCTCTTCCACCTCACTTACTCCTAGTCCCTAAATAGATGTCATTTTATATATTCTTTTTGCAAAGACCACTTGAACGTCTACCTCACCCATCAATATTAGATCATGTCTGTAATTCTTTTCCTTCATAGCCTTTATAATAACCAATTTGTGCTTTTATTTATTTAAAGTCTTCTTATTTATATAAATGTATATACATATATTTTGTATTTATTTCCCCTGAAAGCACCTAAAAGCGCTTCTGGAATCCAGATCTTGATTTCTAATATCATCTTCCAGTAAAAGCAATCAAGGCTCTTTGGAGATTGGGTCAAGGCTGATTTTAGGGCAGGGGCAGGAAAACACAAGATAAGCCTGGAGTATCTTGTAGTGACAGAAAACAAGTATAAAAAAACCCCCAAAAAACTAGAGACATGTGACAATGAAATAGTAATTAACCTGAAAAGTTCCCAAAGGCTAAAGCTGGGATAATTTTGGTAGTTAAATAAATATTCAAAGTACTGGATTATAACAAAAAATAAAATAAATATTCAGGAGTCCATACTGATACAAATGATTGGCTAGACAACTGGGGAATAAAAGACAAATATTTTCTTCTACAGAATTTTATATGATTAATGTAGTTACTTTTTCCTCTAGGAAGTAGTTTAGTTCTCATCTTTTTGAGTGGAACTTAGTACTTCTAAGTAACATAATATGAAAATAAAATAACAGTAACTTCACAGCCGAGAAATCTCCCAAATACCATCTGACCTGAAGGATTAAGCTTAACATCGCCAGTGATGACTCATGTTTACAGCTTAGACCTTTACTGTGGTACAAGGAGAAGGGCACCTCATCTTTACACTATTTATTGAGAAACCCATAGTCCCACACCATTTATGGAAACACACTGAGGAACTCTGTACAATACACCTAATCAATAGTATTGAAGTCACTTCAAAAAAAAAAGTTTGAGAAACTGTCACAGATTGGAGGAGCCTAAGGAGACCAGATGAGCCAGTGCAACCTGGTATCCTGATTGGAACCTGGACCCTAAAACATTAGTGGGAAAGGTGATGAAACTCTATTAGAATGTGCAATACGGAGCCAATGTTAATTTCTTAGTGTTGATAAATATTACATGGTTGTATGAGATGTTAATATTGAGAAAAGAAACCTGAGTGTATATGGGAACCCCGTACAGTTTGCGACTCTTCTGCAAAACTAAAATCACTACAAAGTGAAAAATGTACAAACATCATCTCCCACTTAAATATAACTCCATGAGCAGGGATGATCTCTATAGTGGTCACTAATGTACATCCTTCTCTAGAACAGTGGTGTGTGGTAGGTAAGACTAGTTTCGGAGCATGGATGCATGTTTGAGTTCTGGCTCTGCCACTTGTGAGGTATGTTACAGAAAGTTTATGAGCACTCCGTGTCTCAGTTTTCTCATCTGTAAAGGAATAAAGTGGGTGTGTGAATTAATATACACAAAGCACACAACCGTGCAAGGTTAGTTATTACTGATATAATTTTAATTTAATATATCACTGTTGAGTGAGTGAATGAATAATGCAAGGTCTTTTGCTAAGTGTGAGTTAGGATTCTGTTTAAGTCAAAGAGTGTGTTTGAAGAAGAGGTTCCAGATACATTATATACTTACAGTGAGCTGGAAGCTCCATAAAGCGCAGTTGATGTGTTGGCATAAGCGTGGCAGAAGTATGAGGCAAATCTTGGAGAATGAAGCATGGATTAAGACTGCCGTAGAAGCATGTATGAGGGCCCTGTGTTTTGACTAGTAGTGAAGGTTAAGAAGAGAGAGCAATTAGTCTTTACCAGGCTTTAATGGACACAGTCACGCCTCCTCATTTACATATCATCTGTGTCTGCTTATGTGTTACAATGCAGAGTTTAGCAGCAATGCCAGAGTCCTTATGCCATGGAAAGCCAATAATATTCCCCATCTGGCTCTTTACAAGAAGCTGCTGCCTCTTGCTCTAAGGTAGTACCACCTGTGTCTCTAGTATAGAGTCAAGAACATTGTCCCCCTCAACAATAAGTCAGTACTTTTTCGAAGTTATTTGAAAAGATCAAGAGCAGAACACAAGCTGTTTCAGAGACAAGAGCAGATCAAATACTAATAGCAAACCCATGCATCCTGTTTTGCTTTTTCCTTCATGGGACCTTAGCTTCCTCCCATCTCCTAATCATGGGACACTACTGCCACACAGTTCCCATGGGGCATCATCAGCCTCCTATCACTAATACTTAAAGGCCTCCACTGAAGCTGAGCCCAAAATATCTTATGACACTTATAGAAGGTGGTTCAGTGCTACTTACCAGTAACTTTAAGCCAGTTATTGGGTACCTCGAAGCCTTGGTTTCCTCATCTGTAGAACAGAGACATTATTTACTCACAGGAGCACAAAGGTGAAGTGAGATAATGAATGTTCCTGGAACAAAATTTGCATTCTTGAAAAGTGGTTCTTCTCATTTTTGCTGTTAGTGAGTATAAAGTAAAGGTTAAGAACTTCAGCCAGACATCCACTGATATCTTGGGGAAGTTATTTGAGGTGTCTGTGGTTCATTTCCTTCAACTACCAACCAGATGATAATAGTGCTTACCATTTAGGTTTGTGGGGAAGATTAAATGGGTATAGATATAGACAGGGCCTATCTGTGGTGAGATTTTACCCAGAATTAGCTACTAGTATTAATCCATGTATTTACTATAAATATACAGACTGCTACATTTTTTTCCATTTTATTGGTATATGTTTGTTATCCATAATATTTATATTTGTCTTGGGAATTCGTACAAACATATGTATATCCTATCTTGATCATTTTTGACACCCTTTTCTCCTCCTACTCTTTCCCCCTTCCCTTGATATTCTTGAAAACAAGAGTGATGTTTAAAGTATGGTATTGTAGGAACAGTGACTTCTCAGGTGGAATTAGATTAGGGACTGGGCCCCTTCGCATCTCTGCAAGCAGCAGACAGCAGAGCGGGCAGCCTGGGTTTTGCATAGCCGCACTGTTCCCCCAATACCCTCTTTAAGTAGGTTACTTCTCCTTAAATGAAACAAACAAACAAAAAAGCTTCCCTTCGAAATTCCCTTATCAGCTCACTTACTCTGGGCCCTGGCAACAAGTTTAGTAACTCATCAAGTGTGGCCGCTCAAAGGGGTGGAGACTGACCCCTACCTCAGGAAACAGGACCTCCACCCCAGATGTGGTGGTGTCTCAGGTCTGAGCACCCCACTTCTTCCCCGGGATGGGTTTGTACCACTTCTTGAAATACCTGCAATAAAGTCTTTTCTTCACACTGGTCTGCTCTGATTCCTCCTCCTCTTTCTATGTGGGAGAGAAAGACAGGCCCTGGAGGGACCCTTAGGCCCTGGATCCACCTGATGGAACACTAATTTATAACACACTGAGTTAAATTTTCCCATAAATGCAAAAGAGTTGTGGGGAGAGTGAAATAGTAAGAGAAGGACTAAAAGGGTAACACTGTTATCTCATCATCCGCTTAAGTCATAAAGGATTTTTGCAATCACTTCCTTACCAACTCAGTCACCTCTATAAGAATTTATAGCTTTTTCCTGTTGATTTTATAAGCTTCCAGAGTTTCCTTGTAAATTTCTTTACTATAAAAAGACCAAATATATGCTCCCGGAATAAACAGCAGGAAGCCTATGAAGTGTTTGTTGTGAAAAGACCAGCACCGAAACACATGCTTGAATGCATAGAGCACAATGTCTCTCCAGCTTCATAGCACACCTGTGTGGAAGCATTCAGCTGCATGTTTTGGAAATTATACTGTAAGAATTACTACGTAGACAAAAATGAAAATGCATGTTTGCTCTTAAAATAACTTTATGAACAACTTCTTTAGACCCTTTTTAATGGTAACAAGACTTCATCTTTTAGCATATATAGAATCTTCTTTTTTTTTTTTTGGTACCGGGGATGGAACTCAGGACCTTCCGCTTGCGAGGAAGGCGGCAGAACCACTGAACTAAATCCCTGGCCCTATGGAGACTTCTTTTAGAACCATTAAAGTAAATAGACTACAAATCTTAGAAGTATGTTGCCAAAAGGATGATGTTAAAATTTCTCTATAAGATTGGAATTTAAATTAGCACTTTAGGGCAGCACATGATTTTAGTGTTAGAAACTCGACGCATCACAAAATAGCTAATTTACTTATATTATTCTTTGTGATTGCTTGATCTCAAGAAAAGAGCTTTTTACTCTTTGCAGTTAAAGACATGATAATACGTTAAAATTTTCCCATGTTGTATGTATGCGTGTGGTTAGGGTCAGGTGTGTACAAGGAGGGGGTATGGGGCAGGGGAGGTAATCCTCAGCCTGCTGTGTATGACTGGGGAGTTTCTGGCTTGGAGTACAGCATGGAGAGGGGGACATAAAAGTTGAATAGATGGAAATACTAAGTTTAAAAAGATCATAAAAAAGTACAATTGTATTATTACTGAATATTTTACACTTGCTATCCTGATAGTTTCACCCATGGTGCTTTTGGAACTACAACTTAATTTAACTGAAAGTGTTACCAGACAGTTGATCTTGGTCTCCCTCAACATGCAGGCTCTTTGTATCCTGAAAAAAGAATTGGGCAGGCTACACAGAAATGGTAAGAAAGGCAATGATTTATGAAAGGGAAAATATCCTCCACAGAGCAGGACTGGGCCAATGAGAAAACTCAAGAGTGAGACTGACTCCCAGAGGCCCCTCCTTTCTGGTTAGATTGTGGTTAAAGTACACTGGGGAGAGTTTCAAACAGTCAGGCCCCGGAAATGGTGACTGCTATAACCTAAGTCCACCCTCAAGAACAGAGGGCAGCAGGGTAGAGACGGCAGCTGCAGTGAGTTCCAGGGTTGGCTTCTCTTTTGTTTTCCTAGAATTTCCTAGAATTTGGGGGTGGTAACTAATTGGGCTTCTTTTCAATCAACTGTGAGTCTCTACCTCCGTGGCAGGAGAGGAGATTGTGGACTTATAAGGGGCTCAATGGAACCAGCATGACTGCCCAAGCCTGGAAGTGGCATCAAAATGACAATGCTGATGATGTTATGGGGTTGAGCTCAGTTGTTCTAAAGCAGTTAGGAGCTTGTGCTCCCGGGGCTCATGCAGGAGGTTCAGGAAGTGTGATAAGGGGAGGAGTTTATCTTTTAGGCTCATGTTAAGAAAATATGGTGATTTTTTTTTCCCACATTGTGGGTTGTCTCTTCACACTGCTGGTGGTTTCTCTTGCTGTGCAGAAGCCTTTTAATAAGAAGAGATCCCACTTG